AGTGCTAGTGCTAGTGCTAGTGCTGCCGCTACCGCTACTGTGCTCCCAGCGAGTTCCGGCACCAGGTCGAGGAGAGTGTCTTGACCAAGTTTCCGAATCGAGGACTCCTGTGCAGGGTGCACGATGTACATGCCAGCACCAATCAGGCAAGGAAGATAGTATGATTTGATGGTACTAAGATTTCTGCTTCGGAAGGTCGATCACTTATGCAATGCATCCCTGGCCGTGACGAGTTGGATCAATTTTCTTGTGGGTTCGGAACCGACTTGGAGTGGAAACTCGATGGCGGAAGGACAACAGGACGTAAGAGGACGGAGGCGCCAGGCTGTAGTTTGACTCATCTAGACAAGCATGCATCTAATTTGAGTCATGCGAGGTTCACCTAATCCACCAAGCAAGCTTCAGCAAGCTCTTGCTTGCTTCAGCAACTGCCCACTTAACCTAAGCCCGAAGCCCTACTGTAAACCACTGTAAACCACAAACCTTTATCTCCTTGCCGTAATTGAAAGCGTAGTCGTAGTGACCCTGAAGCTGTTTCCTCGCCTCCTCAAAGACCCGCTGCTTCACGGTCATGTATCCTGAGCTCCGGCTGGCCAAGTGTGTGGCCTCTTGTTTAGGGTTTAGGGTTTAGGGCTTAGGGCCCTAGCACATGGGTTGGAGTTCGAAGGGTTTTGGGTTTAGGCTTGGGGTTCAAGTTTGCATTAATGGCAAGACGTAGTTGATACTATCACCGTGGTAGGAAGCCTTGCGAACGTGGCACCGTATGCAAAACTTATGGAATTTTCCACTGATCTTGTTGGTAACTCGTGACGTAACATATCCCGACAGAATACGTCCTGCATACCCTTTGCGTTGTCATCCTTTGGATTGTCAAATTGTCATCTGTCGCCTTTCTCATTGGGCCCCTGGCGATCGGCCACGTCAAAAGCAGAGGCCCCCCCTCCTCCAAATCTGGCACTTGCCATACAGGCTTGGCTGGGGTTGAGAGGGTGGGGGCCTAGATTTTCGACTTGGCGGTTTCGGGTTTAGAGATGAAGTGTAGGACTGGAGTATGATGGCTACTTGTACAAACTGAACACTAAAACATTATTCAAGGAAGTGGTTGGCCCATGGATCTTTCCCAACTCGGACAAGCCAGCAGCAAGGGGTCGTTCATAGCATGCTTTGCCCAGAAGGGCTTTGTGACACCCGCAGTCAGCAAGGAAGTGCCAAGTTATCACGCTTCTTGGAGGTTTCAGTCTGCTGCACTCTGACTTGCGGAGCACTCGTCGTTTAGTCTTCGTGTTCGCTCTGCAATACCCCTCGTGGAGAGATGAGAGAACTAAGACCCAAACCAGACTCGCAAACTAGGGTTTCTTTGCATGCATCATGTCTACATGCGAGCGCGACTGTATAAATGTCAGGAGGAGGCCAGGCCAAAAAAAGCAGAGTACATCAAGTCCGCGCTCAAGGTGGTTTCCGGCTATCTGGGCTGTTGTTTCTTCCTAACCGCAACACAAAGGGGCGTGTCCTGCTGGCAGGCCGAAATCCCGCAGCCTCGTCACTTTGGAGGACTCTTGGTGTTGGCTAGCTGGGAATGGGTTCGACCTGTACAGCCACTTCTTAGGCAAGGGTCTGCAATCTGCAAGGTCTTGCCGAATCCAACATCAGGCAGCAGTAATTCCGCTTGCACTTGTTCGGATAAGAGCTACCCCTGCTGTTTCGATTCCTCTTTCCTGACCTGATGGACGAAACGTTTGTGCCTATACATGACTAGTGTTGAAATCATAAGGGTATGCCAATCTCATGCAGGAATGCCACTTGTTCCCTTCTTCCGTTACATGGAAGAGCCTGTTGTGCTCTAAAGTCCTGAAAAAAGACCTAGAGCCGCACGCCCAACAGAACCACTCCGGGACTCCGGACCACTTCTTCATCTGCCTCGTGTTGCCGCTGCCCAAGCCGAACTCCACGACAGGCAGAGGTGCCTCGCGAAGGAGCCCTTGACAGTTGAGATCACCACTCCCCGTCCAGAAAACAGCATTCCCCGATGCTACATATGTATATGCATACATATGTAGTTACATTACCTTACTTACCTTACATTACTCTACTTTACAGTACATTACATTACAAACAATAAATGTATGTATATAATATATATATATATATATATGTCTATGTATATGTATATGTATGTGTATATACATACACATATATGTAGGTCTATACGTATATAAGTGAATGTGTTTGGCGTGTACAGATATGTTTATATATATATACATATGTATATGCATATGCTACATGTACATATACATACACATGTAGGTGTGTATATATACATGTAGGTGTGTGCGTATATATATATATATATAACGTGTATACGTACATACTGTTTGATACACACCGTCTACACATGTATATGCGCATGCACATATGCATACGTATAGTTGCATGTGCATATACACCAAGTTTACATGCCTATACCTATACGTGTATGTGCACGTGTATGCGTGCGTGTAGATCACATGTATGCGCTACACACACCTAGAGAGAGAGAGAGAGAGAGAGAGAGAGAGAGAGAGAGAGGGAGCGAGAGACAGACAGAGAGAGCGAGAGAGAGAGAGAGACATATGCCGGCAGACATGAATCGATACAGAAAAACAGACACGTATACCTAATTTTTGCACCTATCTATCACACACCCTGTTTTGCATACACAAGCTTCGTCATGGCTTGGCGGTGTAGCCTCTTCATATTGGCCTTCCGTTTCGATATCTTGCGGTGCTGCCAGAGAAGTTGTTGATGACTTCTGTGTGTCAAATTCAACGAGTCTGTCCAACTCATTCTGCACGGATTCTGGTGCCAACTTTGCCACTGATTGGACATTCGAAACGGCTACAGCCCATGTAAGTTACAGCCCACCTCGCTCAGCCGGAGCACAAGGTCCTGCTTTCTGCCCGCCTTGATCATGCTGATTTGATGCCTACTGATCCTTGCACTCATGGAAACATGACTATCCTGTGTGAACTGGCTTGGAGCCATAAACTAGTAGACTGGCATCTGCGTTGAACTCGCAGCAAACAGACCGTTACAGTACGAACAGTGATAACAAGAAGTGAAACTAAATCTGAGCTTCGTGGAATCGAATGGAAACCACAGCTTCCGTCCAAGCGAGGCACTGCGGACAGCTTCCGAGACTCCAAGTGAGCTTTCAGGTCGTTGACCTGAATTTACAGGCTCACGCGGAAATCGCAACTCCGAGTTGAGGTGTTTGGCACTCTGAAGACCCCAATCAATTCATGGCATCCGGACGGCTCTGTATGGCTCGAACTGAGACGATGCAAGGGCACACAAACCTGAGGCCCTGACGGACAACTTGCTCCACTCCTTTGCCAACGTGCCGATCGAACCAGGCATACAACGGTCTAGTATCGGCTGCGTGTGGTGCAGGTTTCAGCAGTGGTCGTCGCTGTGGTAGCTGTGAGTACTGATCGTTTCGGCGGTACTGGTAGCAGATGTCATCGTCACCGAAGTAGCACAGGCGGCCCTACAAGCAGCAGCATCCAGAGCGGAACAGCATTGCGCCAAACATGGACAATCACTTCAAGCCCTGACGCAATTTGTACTGGCAATCAAGCAGAAAGACAGCAACGAACACGAGCCCACACCGGCCTTGCTTGTGAATCCGGCAGTGTAATACTGAAGCAGTGCAGCCACGAGCTCCTCACCAAGGTCACGAAGAAACGGCATCGCCAGCGACTACACTCAAGACCGTCATGTTTGCGGCGAAATCGATACTGCCAAGGCTGCATACGTTACTTATATAGTCATTGCCACAATCCACTGCTTTTGCCACCGCTGCCTTGATGGCGACTGCTGTCTTCTTTACATGCGTAGTGCACGGCTGGAACTTCGCATAGGCAACTGCACAAGCTACAACTAAAACCACAACTGCAATCACCGCTACTATTACTACTACTACTACTACTACTACTACTACTACTACTCCTGCTACTACTACTACTACTACTACTGCTGCTGCTGCTGCTGCTGCTGCTGCTGCTGCTGCTGCTGCTACCCCTGCTCGTACTTCTACTCGTACTCCTTTTCCTACCCCTACCCTTGCCCCTGCGCCTGCTCTTACTCCTACTGCAGCAGACTGCTACACCGGTCTACAACTTCAATAGCAGAAGCAGCAGCAGCAGCAGCAGCAACAACAACAACAAGAACAACACCAACAACCACAACAGCAACAGCAACAACTATTGCTGCTGCTGCTGCTGCTGCTGCTGCTACTACTACTACTACTCCTCCTGCTGCTGCTGCTGCTGCTGCTGCTGCTGCCGCTGCTGCTGCTGCTGTCACTACAGTATCATGACTCCTACTCCTACCC